GGCGCCTCAGGGTTAGGAGGCTTGTGGCGCTGTTGGCGGAGTGCCCGTCTGAGAGGAGTAGGGTGGGGGAAAGATGTTCTCCTCTGTGCCTTCCTGGAGAATGGGTTTCTCTTCCACCTTTGGTCTGAGAGGGAGGACCTGCAGAGGTTGAGGGGAAGCAGTTGGATTAATCAGGGGAAGGAAGGACTTGACCCAACCTCGGGGGCCATCAGGTCATTCGATGAGGCCTCGCCAGGTCACGATGTATGGGATCTGGTCCTGGTGGCCTGTCCGTGGGCAGAAGGTGTGGTCCTCTACCCTGGAAATCAAACTCAGGTTAAAAGTCCCTTCAGGGGGCCATCCAACATTGAAGGAGGGCCAATCAACTGAACATAAAGTTGTCCATTTCTTTTTCTTTACATCTACACTATTGTTATGGGCAATCGTCTTAACATCCCCCCAGTGGACTAGTGTAAGAGCTAGAGGGGAAGATGGGGTGTTGCCCATAGTATTTATCAGTCCCGTCCATTTCGTCAACAAAGAAATTAGAACGAAGATCACAAGACACAAGAATGACACAGACAAAAGGAGGGCCCAGAATAAACTACTGCAGCTTTCAGATGGTCTGGACTCTCGGCCATGTGAGTTCCCCCGCTCGATTATGCCAAAGACCGTACAGATAGGATGCGCGTGTCCCAACAGGGTCACGAGGTCCTCTTGAGGTTTCAGATGGACTAGTGTCCTGGTGAGGTGTCCGATGAGGAACACCCACCCTGACGAGGATGGGGACGTCTCCCGAATCCTCCAGGTTGCCTCGCTAGCGTTTCAGCGACAAAGAAGAACTGAGATCAGATGGCCGCGACCAAAGTGAAAGCATAGAGAAGACAGGCACACACACACAGTTTTACAAAAACTTACCTGGCTGGTTGATCACAAACCTTTGGGGGGTCGGTTCCTCTTGGGGGTCTTTGGGGGGATCCCAGACGAGCCCCCAAATGTTATACCTCATCCACTGGACCCCAAAAAGACCACCGAGGACCCAACACACCAAAATGCAAAAGCAA